TTATGAGCATAGTAACTAAGACAACTTTTATACTTTCTTTTATATATATAATAGATTTGAGAAAAGTTTGTGCAATATAAGTGTTTCTCAAGCGTTGTTAAAAAAAATGTTCTGATAAACTATTTTTATAATATTATTCTCAAGCTGTATTGTATTTTGGTATGTTGGGAGTGTTGGTGATGACACAGACATTCCATGGGATACTCTTTGCCTACCCCTGCTTTAGAGATGTAAATGAATATACATTTACATCTTACAACAAATGTTGATTGCAAACAATTGAATTAGTCGTCTCTGAGACTTCATTCCGGCTAGCACAACGTAGATTTTTTACTGCGCCTTTACTAAACTGTCGGGAATCAATTATACAAAAACATTAATGTGAAAAAAAACGTTAGTACCATGCATGGCATAATTACAGAGGATAGAAGGAAGCTACCCCATAAATACAATTTTTTCCCTTCTTTCGCGGGTTTTTTTTTTTTTTCAAATACAAAAAATTTGTTAAAGAAAAATTTGACACTATAATGCTAGGAACACAATTGGAGCGAACGACGAATTTTTTCGCGGCGTATGTTCGTCGTCAAAAATAAAACACATGTGTGTATATGGAAGTGCACACAATCACGGCACCGGCGAAAATTTCGTCGGTCGCCGCGAACTCAATTAGCTTTATTTCTATTTCATACGCCGGCGACCGGCGAACAAAACAGTACAAGGTGGCCATACTTGTACGAATTTTATGTGTTTTAGTAAATAAAGTTACTTTTTACTTTAAAATTTGTTATGGTCACTCTACTATCTGTTACTCGTATAAAAAAAACATAATTAATTTGTTTATTTATTTGTGTACTTGCGCCTGAGTGAAGATGGATATCAGTGAATTTATAATAGAGAAGATGGACATAAGTGAAATTATAATAGAGAACGTAAAGAATTATGTGTTCTTGTATAATTCATTGTAGTCAACAAATGAGCAAAAAGTAAACAACTTCATCAGCTGTTTTTTAATTTCGTCGGTATTGTGTTCCATACGACGAATTTTCGCGGCTCATTTTGTCGCCGCGTAGGGCGAAATTCGTCGTTCGCTCCAATTGTGTTCCTAGCATAAGACTCCATCACAGAGTTGCGTTTTTGTAGTATCTTTGAAGTTGAGTAACCTTTCTTACTGAGCCATGGTACAATGGTACAATAACAAGGTAAAACCACAGCTCAGATTTGCTCATTTTCACTTGGGAGAGAAACTTGCTCGCAAGCAGGATTACACAAAAAGTGGCAGTTTGAACCGAGTCTACACTTTTGTGTGGGAGCACTCCTGTTTGATAAATTAGATTGGGAGCAGAAACAACATAAAAAGATCAAGAGTTTGCTTTAAGCTGGCCATAGACGAACGATAAATTCGAGCAATTTGTTGGGTTTGTGGTCGCGTTTTTACGTCTGTGGGGTAGTTTGCGAACAAATTGCAAGTTTTTGAAAATTTTCAAAAACTTGCAATTTGTTGGCAAACAAATCATACGTGTGTGGGCTACTGCGCAAATTTTAAGCCATTTTGCCATTTCTGTTGCTCTTCAACCATTGTAACGAAAGGTCATGTAGTGCACACAAAAAATGGCAAGCAAAGACTTTATGATAGAATTTTTTGATGTGTTAAAAAATGAAAATGCCATTTGGCAAACAAAAAGTGAAAAATATAAAGACAAATTAGAAAAACAAAAATCATGGGAAAAACTCGTAACAAAATGGAAAATTTTTATAATCCCTTGGAGTAAGCATTTCCATATTTTTGAGCGTTGCTACATGGGAATGCTTTTTTCTTTCGAGCAACCACTCTTCACTCCATTTTCTTTTTTTTCGATTTTTTTCTTTTCTTGTTTTTTATTTTCCATGTCGAAACATGTATATATAATTAAAAGCGCAGCTGCATCAGCCACTGCATCGTCGCACATGTTTTTTTAAGTTTCCTATCAACAGAAAAAACCAATTGTTAAATAAAAAATTTTCTGCCACAAAATTCAAACAGAAGCACAAACCGAAGTTCAAACACAAAATGAACATCATCCGCTTCGTAGCATATGCTTACTCTTCAACGTCGGCCGAATTATGATTTGTTCGAGAGTGTGTGGAGAAACGATATGCAATAAATCGCAGCAATAAATTTGCAAATCACACCAACAAATCGTTCGTCTATGGCCAGCTTTAAGAATGAAAATGAGTTGAATATTTTTCTGTGTGGCGATTTATGTGTGCTTGTGTGCAACAGCAAACCGGTTTTAATGTTGCTGTGAACTTTGAAGAGACGGAGGCAGGGCGTTCAGCTCGATCGTGTACAAAATTAAATAACACAACAGCAGAGTGTATTGCAAGGAACCGGAGGGTATTGTTATTGTATACAAAACACGTTCCTAGTAGATTTCGAGCCCTGCTGTCATAATTTGTTAGGATGGCGCTTGCAGAGTTGATGTGAACTGTAATTCTAAATATATTTTCCAAAATTTTATATAATTCAAAAAATTGAAAAACTTACGGCTTTTAGTTTAAAGTTGGTGGATGCTCATGTCTACGCCAGCGTTCGAAAATAAACAGTATTGTGCTGTACCGCTCCGAGGTGGAGTGGTACACTAAGATAATGTACCGTACCGGAGCACAACCCTTAAAAATATTTTAACGATTCTGTACGGGAGCATAACGAAAATCGTACTGTACCGCAGTCGGAGCACTGAAAAACGTCTGTACCGCAGTCGGAACACTACAAAATCGTAGTGTTCCGCAGCCGGAGCACTACAAAATCGTAGTGTACCACATAGCAGAACATTAAAAAAAATAATGTACCGGTAGTGTACCACATAATTCAATTAAATTAAAAAAATATTGATTTTTTTGTCATGTATGTTTAGATTTGTTGCGAAATTGAAGAAAGTAGAAAATTGAGAATAGGTAGGACCAAAGAATAAAAAAGGACCAAATCTGAAGTGATAATAATTTGTATTTTAGTGGTTGCGTTGTAATGGGTTATTATGCAAATAATTTACCTGTTATTTTGTGGTACCGAAAAATCAATGAATGTAAGTGAAAAAAACAAAACTAGCAAGTTAAAAAGCAGTCGTATTTGGACTTCGTAATGGATGCTACAGCGTATGACAGAAAATTGTCTATGCTGGTCCAGGTCTTCGTATAGGCCCCATATGTCAGTACCTCCCTATATTCGGTTTTTTGACGATTTTAGGTACAATACTCACCGAAATTGTTTGAGATGTCGTATTTGAAGATCGTAATAGATGCTACAGCCTATGACAGAAAGTTGTCTTTGCAGGTCCAGATCTTCGTATAGCTCCGATATAATAATACCTCCCTATATATGGTTTTTTAATGATTTTAGTTACATTGTTCACCGTTTATTTCAAGTTTCGAATTTGAATATGGTAACGGCTTATGACAAAAAATGACCATGTAGACCCCAATATAACGGCTATATTCGGTATTTTTAAGAGTTTAACATTGTTTGAACATTTCCAAATTCATTCCAAATGGTGGAGGGTATTCAAAGTTCGGCCCGGCCGAATTTACTGCTTTTTAACTTGTTTTTAGTGACACTGTACCGGTACAGTACACTATGCTTGTGTACTGTTTGTTTTCGAAAGCTGGCCGCCTCCTGCTGGGGTATACTCAGGGTGGCAGGGTTCGTCACAGAAATTTATATTTTGCAGTGACGGAGAGGGAAGAAAATCAAGTTTTACTTTAGTTTACAAATTCAATGCCTTCCCTTTTATTACTATTTTACTGTATATATATGTACACAATGTGATTTATCAAAAGTCTGCTACTCGTGGTCTTCGTCGCCTCTGCGTACTGGTCGTCTCCGGCAATTGGTGGTTCCGTGATGATACCTCTTCCGGATTGTATTCCTCTGCTCAGGCCACTCGATGGGAAAAGTCGTCAAAACCAATGTGCGGGGGACCTTTCGGACCTCCTGAAAGCCCTCTCGGTCGTAAAACTTCAAATATTATTTTCGTGAGACCTTCCGGCCCTCTCTGTCATAGAAAGCACTAATTTTAGGTTCGTGAGACCTTTCGGCCCTCTCTATTCAAAAATCTTCAAATATTGTATTCTGGAGACCTTTCGGCCCTCTTGATGGAAAGAAACACTAAATTTAATAGTCGGGAGACCTTTCGGCCCTCTCGATCGGAAAGCACTAATCTTTATATTCGGGAGACCTTTCGGCCCTCTCGATCGTAAAAACTTCAAATATTATAGTCGGGAGACCTGTCGGCCCTCTCGATCGTGAAAACTTCAAATATTATAGTCGGGAGACCTTTCGGCCCTCTCGATCGGAAAACACTAAATTGTATATTCGGGAGACCTTTCGGCCCTCGATTGAATGAAACACTAAGTTTATAGTCGGGAGACCTTTCGGCCCTCTCGATTGAATGAAACACTAAGTTTATGGTTGGGAGACCTTTCGGCCCTCTCGATCGTGAAAACTTCAAATATTATAGTCGGGAGACCTTTCGGCCCTCTCGATTGGAAAACACTGATTTTTATATTCGGGAGACCTTTCGGCCCTCTCGATTGAATGAAACACTAAGTTTATAGTCGGGAGACCTTTCGGCCCTCTCGATTGGAAAACACTGATTTTTATATTCGGGAGACCTTTCGGCCCTCTCGATTGAATGAAACACTAAGTTTATAGTCGAGAGACCTTTCGGCCCTTTCGATCGTGAAAACTTCAAATATTATAGTCGGGAGACCTTTCGGCCCTCTCGATCGTGAAAACTTCAAATATTATAGTCGGGAGACCTTTCGGCCCTCCTGATCGGAAAACACTAATTTTTATATTCGGGAGACCTTTCGGCTTTCTCGATCGTGAAAACACTAAATTTTTATTCGGGAGACCTTTCGGCCCTCTCGATCGTAAAAACTTCAAATATTAATTTTCACTAGCACTTTAGGTTGGGGATTGGGTTGGGGTTACTTTTAATATTTCCTCAGAACAGTAAACTTACCCAAAGATTTTGTCCACCAGCTGCCAGCAATTCACTTTTTTTTTTCCACCGCCGATATTTCCCGAGACTTTGCTATCGCCGTCTTCCGATTTAATGTCCGCGCACGATGGACGTTCTTTACTCACTCTTCCCAAATTCGCTCAGCGCATCCCATTTAAAGCCAGGGTTCAGCCACGGCGAATTGGCGGCTTCGCTGCTATATCTAATTTTCTCTGCAGTAATCGCTCTACTGCCCATTGGCTACCGTCGTCGAACAACTGTACCTTGTTTACCAAATGTAGAAATGTAGATTATTGCGAACTATCACTGTTTTATCCGATGGCAGTCACTAGATAGTGTCTACACCAGAGGGCTGCAACGAGTATGCAAAAATTCAACCACTCTCGGTTTCTTACACGATTTTTGTTGATGCAGTCGTTTAGTTTGATATGAACGAAATGACCGTTTTCGCATCGAATCGAATCGGATCGAAATGAAAGCTCAGTTTGAATAACTTCACTCACAATCAAAAGAGTGTTCGAGACGGTTTGATATGTTCAGCAACATGAGTTGATCGAACACATGAATGTAAATGAGCAATCACAACCGTGGTTGTTTTCTTTGAATGGAGTTCCCTCAGCGTCATTGTTTATTCAACCATTCAATCAAGTTGGGACAGTTTATTTTGACTTTTTTTGATATTTGAAATGGAAGAATGTTGTGGTAGTGCGACCGAAATTGTTGCAAGTAGAAACTACACAGGTGTAGGTAAAAGAAAAGTTCGAAGTTTGGGAAAAATCTTGATAAAAATTTTAAAATAAAAAAATATTTAAACATTTTTTGTTTACTAAATACCAATGATGTGTTTCGGTATTGAAAATATTAATATTGTTTTTTAGAAATAAGTCACTGAAGTCTAACATACCAAAAACCCAAATAAAATGAAAACATTGTCTGTTTATTAAATATAATTTGCACCAATTTTTTAATGGGGACAGCTTTTAGTTATGAAATCCTTTGTAAAATTACAATCATGATTTCGCTCAGTTTCGAACATTTGTGTTTTAATCAAATCAAATCACTCACTTAACTGGGATGAATCAAACCGACAAGACTCCTCATAGATGATCGACCCGTTATGAACAATTCAACATAAGTTCGTAAACAAATAACTCATTGGAGCTGTTTGATTGCGAACACAACACTTCGATCAATACATGTTTGATCACAACTTTTTCGTTTGGCTTGAGCAACTCGAATAAACATGTTAAATCTGACCGACTGATTGAGTTTGATTGTATTTCTACTGTGTGTGATCAAGCATACTCAATCAAACTCATTGCAGCCCTCTGGTCTGCACACGCGACACCTCCCTTCAACTTTCTTGTCGACACTAAGTACTTACTACGAGACAATAGAAAGTAGACAACAGTAGTTTTGTTATTGTAAATGTAAATACTATCGCATTTATTAGTATTAGAAGCGTCGCAGAAGTGGCATCTTCAAATGGAAGTGAGTTACTCAATTCCAAATGCTTGCAGGGTCTACCCGAATTTGAACTCCCACTCAAAAACTAGCAAACATGCCCATTTCTATTCGAGTAACATCGAAAAAATGAGTTCGCTCAAATTTTTTCTACTCCCGGGAGTGCACTCACTCGAATTCGATTGAGTTTCACTCTTTGAGGAAAATCGAACGATTTTTTTGGAGGTCTGGTAGAACAAATTTACAAAAAGAAAAAATGACTAAAATGCATGCCCGTTTCTGTCAAAATCATTTATGACGACAAATATCAAGTTTTATTTACTTATTTTTTTAAGGTTTTACTGAATTCCACAAAAATAATAAATTTGAACTAGAAATTGAATAAAGACTATTTAGGTTAACACTTTTTAGTACTCAACATGGAAAATTTGTTCAGTTTGACAAAATTTTCAAGTAAAAATTTCATAGATCCCTCCAAATTTTGAGATTTTCAAGGTCTAATATATATTTTTTTAATTTTGAAGTTCACAGAGGAGGATATTAGTAATCATTGTACAATGGACCTACATCAATTTTTTCTGTCCAAAACTATTTCAACGTCTCCATAGGTGAGCCCGAAAAATCAACAGTAACCTCAATATTAAGTTTCGGCAATAGTAACATTTAGTAGGGATAATCCAAAATAAATCTACATCTCTCCATACTAGACACCAACAGTGATCGAAATTTAGTACTATTTAGTACTTTTTGAACAATTATTGTAGGCATTTCCAAAACCATTCTGTATTCCAAATTCCAGCCCTATTTCTACACCTAATACCGAATTTAGTACCATTTGTATTTTTCGTACATTTTAAACCACAGCCATACGGCTAAAGAGTATTGATACACACACAACGTGCCTCATCGAAATGATGATTTTAAGCCCTAGGTCTCTTTGGACCAAATCCGTTTCAGGACATTTGGAGTCGATCTAGCGATGTCCGTCCATCAGTCCGCTGGCTGGTGCGAACGATAAGTCTCGAAGGGAGTATACAATTTTGTACAAACTTGGTACATCGCAATATTTTTATCAAACTTAGATCGAGTTCGGAGATGGACAAGATCGGTCCACTCCTTCTGGTACCTTCCCACAAAGGCCCGACTTTCTCCAACTTTCCAAATCCTAATATTTACATCATTGCTATATAAAGTGCGAAAATGGGAAATATGTTTTAAAGCCTTGGGCACGCAATTATTAGACAACTTTCAGCACGCGCCACCCAAGAATAGTTACAAAATGAGGTTCCTCGCTATATTTCCAGCGCACAAATGCCACCGAAGTCTCCGGATACCAATCCGTTGGACTATTGTATTTCGGAAAGCAAGTCAACTGGACTAGACCAAAGAGATCTTAACGCAAGGCTGAAAAAACGGAGATATGTCTTTTCACTACCAAAAGAAAATTGGGGTACCTCGATGAACATGTCTTCCTAAACAAGACATTCAATATTGGCAAAAATGTTAAATATCTGTGCAAAATTTGCGGTTCAATTCTAAGAGTCCGTGGGAGAATGTGGCTTAACAATCAAAATACAGAATACAGGGTGAGATAAAAAAACTGCAACAAAGTCAAACGCCCTGTATACTTACACGCCCTGTATATTTACATTCATGGTAGAGGGTATAAAAACTATGCTGTAGAAACTGGAATTATTTATTGTTCTGTTATAGAAGCTGCAAGAATCGATAAGTTTTGCATTTTTATTCCCCCACAGGGGGTCAAAATTTTGAATATTAATAACAATTATAAAATGTTGTAAGAGTCCGATTGTCTTCAAATTACACACATCACAATATTTTTATTAACCCAGGGTCTGGTGTGAAGATGGAATATATAGGTCCACTCCTTCTGGTACCTCCCCTATAAAGGACCAACATTTTGAATGTCCATGATGCGCGAAATTAACATTCGATTACATTCAGACTTGGCACATGTCAATATTTCTATCAACTAAAAATCTGTTATAAATATGATATAGATGGTACCACTCCTTCTGGTACCTCCCCCATAAAATATCAATGTTTTAAATAACCAAAACGATTATGAAATCCGAAATAAGCATCCTTTATATTCACAAATCTTATTATTTCTGCTAACACAAGATCTGCTGTGAAGATGGGGTACATTCGTGCACTCCTTCTTGTACTGCCCCACAAAGGGTCAACATTTTGAATATTCATAACATCCGATTCCATTCAGACTTGGCCCATTTAAATTTTTCCATCAAAATGGTGGTAGAGATCGGACCATTTCTTCTAGTACCTCCCCAAAATATGGTTCAAGATTCCCAAAAACCAAACTCTCAAAGAAAGCGAAATAAGCATCCTACTCTCTTCAAATTTCACACACACAAACATTTCTGATAACAAAAGATCTGTTGTAAGGATGATATATGTCTGCGAACCAATTTTGATATAAATCTACCAATAATATTATTTATCTGTATTATATGAAGTATGAAAATGGAATACTTCGGTGGAATACTTTGTTGTTTATTGTTTTTTTTTTTTTTTTTTTTTTTGAGATCCTAATAGGAAAATGTGTTATGGCAGGTTTTTCACATTTTTGCCGTTCTGAAACAGCACTTATATTAATGTAATTCTACATTTCCTTTTGACTCTGACTGTATATACCATTTTTCTCTTTTTTAGAACAATATATGCATCGATTATATCATATACTACTGGTTTCCTATGCCTCATACAATTGGGCGTTTGCTGAACCACTTATCTCCCTTAAGCCAAGACCATTATGCAATTTCGACGAAACGGCCAATTTAACAAATGCACATCGTTTTTCAAACGGATCGTATCTTTACGACAATGTTATAATTCCACCTGAACAAGTCACCATATATGATTATATAGAAGTGTTGGGCGGACAAAGGATACCATATCCACCACATCCCCGTGGCTGCGTATGCCAAAATGGTGGTTGCATTAAATTCTGTTGCCATCCGACTAAACAATATCTCAACTCCGAGGGTAAATGTCGTCGCATCGAACATGAAATATCGAATAGTTTTTATGTAAATGTTACTTCCAATAAGGGTGGGACGATGCCGCGCAATGCTATTAATGACTTTATTAAATTGAATGGAAGACCCTGTCAATATCCCGAAGCTCTGCTGCCAGAGATGCACAAAGAGGACGGATGGCAAATTTTAGAAAATGGTATGCTGACATTGCCCCATTATGGAACAGTTGTATCCAAAGGAGAATACTGTCTGACTCTATTACGGACAACGGACGGCGAATGGTCATTGACGGCAATGGTCTGTCCCGTACCCAATGTCTTGTCAACATGGAAACGGGTTTCTAATTGGGGTAAGTGAAATTTGAATAGTATAAATACAAAAAATGGAATGTTGTATGCAAATATTTCACATTTAAATCCTTTTACCATAGGTGTGGTGTTTTCAACATTGTGTCTGATTTTAACTGTGATAGTTTACCTTGCAATACCCGAACTGAGAGGGAGCATCTATGGTTGGTTTATAATAAGCAGTCTGTTGTCATTGGTCATTGGCTATACGGTTTTGGCTATTATTTCATTGTCGGAATATACATTTCCCGAGATGACATGCAGTCTTATTGGTAAGTTTAATGGCAGTTATCAAGTATACCTGTGTGAGTTAGTAAAGCAAGCCATACCACAAATGCAAAATAAGGACATCAAATAGGTTTGTAAAAAAAAAAATTACTAAAATACAATCATGAATAGGAACATTTTTCAAAAAAAAAGGAAAAAGTTAAAAGGTGTCAGATACATGTAATGAATATTGTCCCCCTTTGTGGGGTGACAAATCTTGCGTTAGTAAAAATATTGGGATGTGTAAAACTTAGGGAGAATCGGGTGCTTATTTGACACCCTGTAAGAGTTATTATTATTAAAAAATTTGACCCGTTGTGGGAGAGGTACCAGAATTAGTGGTTCTATATATATATCTGTTCTCCACTCCACATCAGAGGAGGAGGTACCAGAAGGAGTCTTCCGTTATATTGTTTCTTTTATACCAGATATTGGGTTAGTGGAAATATTAAGATGTGTCAAACTAGAAGACTATCGGACTGATATTTCACATTTTATAACAGTTATTGTTCCAAATTTGGACCCTTTGGGGTTCAAACCTAGATCGAGATCAGAGATGGGCAATATCGGTCTACTCCTTCTACAAAAGGTCGAAATTAAAAATTTATATTTTACCGCAAAGAAAGATAAAGAATAATCAGATTTTGCTCCAAGTTTGAAAATCCTAATATTTGTATCAGTGCGGAAATGGACAATATCGTCCTAATCCATCAAGTATACCCCCCCCCAAATTAACATCCGATTCCATTCTGAATTTTCACATCTCAATATTTCCATCAACACAAGATCGGACCATTTCTTCTGGTATCTTCTCCACATAGGTTTCAGGATTTTGAAAAACGAAAAAAGCATCCAACTCTCTTCACACATGCAAACATGTTTGCTTACACAAGATCTTTTGTGAAGATGATATATATCTGTGAATCCTTCTGGTACCTCACCAACAATTTTCAGTACTTGTGTCTGTCATAACTTGCGAAACAAGTCATACATTCTTTACAACTAATATTTTTCTCTACCGGAAACCTGAGATGAATATGCATTTTATGATTTCGCTTTAATGTGAATATAAATTAGCGATTTTCTTGTAATTTTGCCCATACCAATATTTTCATCTGTATTAGATGAAGTATAAAAATGGAATACTTTAGTCGACTATATCAGGTACCTCACCCAAATTTTAACATTTTTTTTAAAAATTATCACATATCTCATATAAAGTGAAGGAAGTAGTCGATATAGTTCAAACCAAGCCATGCAAGAGTTCAGCTCAACTTATATATTTGTACAGAGTTTTTATACCCTACAACACTATGTATTGGGGGTATTATAAGTTTGATTAGGCCAAAAATTATGGATCTTCCTAGCTCGCCGAGCTGAGTCGATCTAGCTATGTATGTCCGTCCGTCCGTCTGTCCGTCTGTCCATGTTAATTTGTAATCACTCTACAGGTCGCAATTATGCCCCGATCTTCACGAAATTTAGAATGTAGGTGGGGTTGAGGTCAGAATAGAACCCTATTTCTTTTGGAGATGATCGCCAAATGTTTAGGGGCTGAAATGGACCAAATACTGAAAAAATGTCGGATTTTGCAGTAGCTGTACAGGTCGCAATTATAGACCAATCGACGCGGAATTTCGCATGTAGCTAGAGTTTAGGACAGGGAAGAAGCCTACCAATTTGGGTGGTCATCGGATAATATTTAGCGGGTAAAATAGACCATATTTTTTGTGTTGAAAAAATTCAAAATTTTTCATTAAACCGCGAATATTTTAAATCCCGGCAAAATCACAAAGCCATGACAAGGTTACTTCTGACCTTTACATTGATGTTAACATCCAACAAAACGGATATATAGCAAAATATGTGCGATATATATGTCTATCAAAGAATATATGCTTGAAAGATCTCTTATATGTCGAGAACGGCTGAACTGATTTCGACAGTTCTCGTTAATTTAGAATGGCCTCTTGGCAGGAAAGAAACAACGTCTAAAAAATCGCATAAAAATATCTCTCTAAAGATGAAAATATTGATTTTGTAAAATTTTCTCATATTTTTTCAATTTTGTCATATTTTCATTTTGAATTAAACATTTGGTAATATTTCTACAGCTAACAAAACTAAGTAGTTAGGATATCAGGATATCATATACAGATCGCATTTATGGCCCGATCCTTACGAAATTTTGCATGGGGATAAGATGAGGGTCAGAATAGAAGCCTACTCCTTTGGAGATGATCGCCATATATTTAGGGGTTGAAATGGACCAAAAAACTGCAAAATTTGTGAACAGGTCGTAATTATCGCCCAATCCTCACGCACATTTGGATGGGGGTTACCGGACTTTGCAAAAGCCAAGCAGTTTTGGATGTCCATCCCAAAATATTCAATGTGTGAAATAGTTTGCCAACTTTTGTAGACAAAATACGAAAATGGCCATTCCGGTGACTTTTTGGAGAATTCACAAATACAGGAAAGACGCACTTCTGACTATTTTGTTAACGCTGATTTCGTTGCGTTTCAGTAAGAAACCAATAATAAATGTTAATCTTTTCCCACGTCTGAGGGATTATAGGTCTTTGGGAAATATAGGTTCCAGATGTAGGAAGACCATTTAAGTGCAACATCTACCAATTAATTGGAAATGTGCAAATTAGTTTAAGTTGCTATTATTCGAAAATTAGAGAACGAAACCTAATGGTTTTCTTTTATTATTTGTCACAATATCTTGTGGAATTCTTTCGAGTATCTCGCCTATATAATCTGTATCATTTATTATAGTGTTGTAGGGTATTCAACGGTCGGCCCCGCTCGACTGTAGCCTTTGCTTACTTGTTTTATATTGTACAGAGTTTAGCAACAAAGTAGCCTTAATCAACATTACACATACAAGCCAAATCGATTGGAAAATGTTTTTAAGAACCCTGAAATAGAGCAAAATCAGAAGATACCTTTATATGGGCGCTACTCCAAAACTTTGAACATCTTCTGTGAATAGGTTTTCTATCCCCTTATAAGCCAAGATGCCAAATACTCCCTGGAAATAGCCAAAATCAGGTGACATCTTCATATGAGGGTTATACAAAACTGTGACCTATGTTGGATATTTTCTTCTTTCTAAAAACTCAAATCACAAACTTTTGCCAAAATTGTTTTGAAAACTGTTAAAAAAAATTGAAAATAAAAAAATATGGCTTTATCCCTTTATTGTTGTTTTTATAAAAACAACGTTTGTTTATTAGTGGAGAACGATGGTAATGTTTACCAGGGGGTAAGGCAGGGAATACCTAGGTTTCGGAAAGAGCCACCAATCCTCATCAGTTCCCTTGTTTTTGTCTGGGATATTCTCCCCAGAAGTTATTTTAAAAATAACTTCTATGACAAAAAAAACATTTTTTACCCAAGTGACGAGATCGTAAGCTCAATAGAAGAGGAACCAAAGAATTAAATAAAACTAAAAATCTCTTGGAAAGTCTTCTAAATCTTACAACCGCACTTATAAACATTTACATCTTTCTCCACTCGTTATGCTTTCGTTCAGCCTGAACGAAGTAGCATAACCATGTAAGTTGGTTTTGTCTGTTACAACAAAACCCCTTCGTAATGTTTACCCCCTGGTAAACATTACCATCGTTCTCCACTAATAAACAAACGTTGTTTTTATAAAAACAACAATAAAGGGATAAAGCCAGACTATTTTGCAACAACAAAATACTACGGCATCCACACTGTTCTATTAATAGACAAGGCACGGTCGACGAAGGGGTTTTTGTTGTAACAGACAAAACCAACTTACATGGTTATGCTACTTCGTGCAGGCTGAACGAAAGCATAACGAGTGGAGAAAGATGTAAATGTTTATAAGTGCGGTTGTAAGATTTAGAAGACTTTCCAAGAGAATTTTAGTTTTATTTAATTCTTTGGTTCCTCTTCTATTGAGCGTACGATCTCGTCACTTGGGTAAAAAATGTTTTTTGTCATAGAAGTTATTTTTAAAATAACTTCTGGGGAGAATATCCCAGACAAAAACAAGGGAACTGATGAGGATTGGTGGCTCTTTCCGAAACCTAGGTATTCCCTGCCTTACCCCCTGGTAAACATTACCATCGTTCTCCACTAATAAACAAACGTTGTTTTTATAAAAACAACAATAAAGGGATAAAGCCAGACTATTTTGCAACAACAAAATACTACGGTATCCCGAACAAACAAGCCACACTGTTCTATAAAAAAATATATATTAAAATTTGCCCTGGAAACCCAAAACCCTTTGGGATTTTCCTCAATTAACCGAATATTCTCCTACACTTAGAATTTCGCACCCACCCTGATAGGGTATATATATCGTATATATATATATATATATATATATATATATATATATATATATATATATATATATATTCTGCATCAGCGTAAAATTCTAAGACAATCTAGCAATGTCCGTCTGTCTGTCTGTTGTAATCACGCTATCTCTCACGCTATTTTGCATACATGCATAGTTTCGTATAGCCCCAATATAACTGTAGCTCCCGATTTTCGGTATTTTGAGGATTATTACCGGAAGTGTTTCAAATTTTGCATTGGGAGATCTTAATGGTTACTACAACCAATGAAAAAAAATGTCATATGCAGGACCACGTCTTCGTATAGCCTCCATATAACGGTACCTCCCGATATTCGGTATTTTCATGATTTTAGCGACATTATTTGCCGGAATTATTTCCAATTTCGTATAAAAAGTTCGTAATGGGTACTACAGTTATAAGCGTAGTAACTAACATAACTTTGTGTGATATGTTAATAGATAGATTGACAAAAAAAAAAAAATAAATAAATAAATAAAATTAAAAAAGAAAAACAAATAGAAACAAGTAAGCAAAGGCTATAGCCGGGTGGGGTCGACCATGTGATACCCTACAACACTACAATATGTTAGAAGCCCCCTTATGTCAAAATCAATTTTGGAAGATTTAGCTTTTGAAATTATTTCACGGAGCAC